GATTTTAGTCTTTCTTCATGCACTACTTTGTGTCGGTCTATCAAAATAAAGTTCATAGTTGTAGCATATTAAAATGGTTTAAAGATGAATCAATGCTTTGCTTAGCGGGCAGGTTGACATGTCTGAAAGCTTAGACAGCTGTACGGTTATCTAACATTTATTTTTGCTTCCTGTTTTTGTTTTTTGCAGCCTATTTATAACTTTATTGGGGTTTTTTTCTACCAGATTTTTAAATATGGAAGTGAGGGAGTTTTTACTATACAATTCAACAAGCGGGAAAAGTTTGCCAGTATAGAAATCCTTCGAGGCCCTTCGTAGCCCAAACCATCATTCCTAAAACTGGTAGTAAATACAAAGGGTCTTTTGACTGGCTATGAATGGGCCAGTGAGTGAGCCCCAAGGCCAAGCGAGCTGTCATTTCCTGACCCAGTCTATGGTTGTTGTTGTTCACACTTGCATATTCCCATTTCTGAACAGCAGATTGCTAGATTGAACAGCAGTCATCTGCAGTGTGTACGTGATGTTCAGAGTGAGCAGCACGCCCTGGGTTTCCGTCCCCAAACGCAGCACGGTTTGACGACATCATTTTGATCTCTCTTCAATCAGACTTTATCACAACATCCACACTGCATGACAGGCCCTTTACTAACAATTCATCTGCCCCTGCCTGCACTCCTCCTTTTTCCCTGTGTCACTATGCTCTCCTCGTTTTGTAAGGTTCACGTTAAAAAACGACTGGAACATGAAAGCCAGACAGAGGAGATTAAACAAAGACAAACAAGAACAGCAGTCTGGGAAAGACATTAACTGGGGTAGATAAGCGTCAGATTGCACAGCGGAAGTGAAAGAGGGCGGTAGGGGTGAATTTGGGCTGTATTTAACATGTAGAACTGATCTGCTTCTCATAGATACAATGAGTGAATGTGGACCCCTGGAGCTCCACTTTACTCTGCAGTGAGAGAATAAGCTAAGAAGGAGAACAGAAAGTGTAGAAGTGTGTTTGGCTGTTCTCTACTGTTGATGTGTGATGCTTAATATCTGTTAAAGAGATTGGAAGCTCATTCTTAATATTTTACCGTTGGATTTTTCTGTAGTCAGCATCCCGATTTTCAGCTGTAAGCTCCTCCCACATCTGAGCATTTATTACTGGATGCAGAAGCAGGTTATTGTTTGGAGTGTGAAGGACCTTATGATGAAACCATGATTGATAATTTTGGGGCCACTCTGTCCATCAACACCTTTCCCTTTTGTTATTGACTTATTTAGGTGTATGGGATTTTTTTTGGATCCATCATTCCAACCATAATTGCTCCTCTAAATGAAACTTGGATTCCTATTCTTATTTAAAGACCAAAAGGGCAGTCAAAAATGCTCGCTTTTCACATTACAATCAAAAT